ATTATTATTATTATTATTATTATTATTATTATTATTATTATTATTATTATTATTATTATTATTATTATTATTATTATTATTATTATTATTATTATTATTATTATTATTATTATTATTATTATTATTATTATTATTATTATTATTATTATTATTATTATTATTATTATTATTATTATTATTATTAATATCATTATTATTTAAAGTTGGCCCAGTCTACTAATTACTATCAGCCCAACTAAAATGTTAGAGAAAGTCCAGCCCATTCATTAAACTCAGCCGTGAGTGAATTAAGAAGATGACTAAGTTGTCTTCTTCCTTGGTACGCCGCAGAACGCAGGTAAACGCGGAAGCTTACCTCGACGGAGCGTGATTCTCCTAATCTACCCTTGAGCCTCCCCAACTCTATCCTCTCTAGGAAGAGTTATGCATCTCTACCTTGCGGGTAGAGAGCCTCTCAGCTTTATCACAAAGCTCTCACACACACTTAACCCGAGGCAGCTACTCTAGCCAATTAAGCCTCAATATTCTACGTACAATATGAAAGGGAAAAAGGAAAACTCTATCTAGAACTCTGAGCGGGCAGTTTCAGGCACCAAGGACTTGATCCTTTTCTTGAATGATTCTTCTGGGTATATTTCTCGATTCAGCACACAATTCTTCTATTGATCTTCAGTATATATAGCTGTCTTGGAGTAGTCCGTTGGGCAGCCTTCCATAAATTGTTGATCTTTAAACTTGTAAACTTGCCTTGATACTTTTGAATCACTTTCCATCTATCTTGAGCTCCATAACTCTCGGATATTGTCACTTTTAATATCAGCCCATATAAAAGGATAGTCAAGCACAAATCACGTATCAAGCAGAACCTTTTATTAGTGGAAAGTAGCAATGATAGATATGCATGGGTAGCGAGTAATATTCAAAAGGAAATTTTCCTTTTACAAATATAGCTAATGATCACCTTTTTCAATTCAAAGGGGTACAGATCATGCTACGGTCACAAAGAATTTAAAAGCAAGGATTTCTTTCCATAAAGGTAATTTTCAAAAGACAATTTAAATCATGCAAGTGGAGATTCTCTCCATAAAGCAATAATCAAAAAGCCAAGTCAATAAAGTGAAAGATTAATAATGCATGAAAGGAGATTCAAATTATGCTACGTGTAAGCATACAAATATCATAAAGGAAGGATTTCTTTCCATAAAGAATAACTCATACAAATCACATTATGCATGCAAGCCAATCTACGTATACCATGTAAATGCCACACGCTAAGCACAAATCTGTAAGAACATAGAATAGTTCTGTCCGTTGTTCCACCTGCATGGTTAGTTCATAACGAGTAGTCACATATGTTTATAGACCAGGTCTATCCTGCACATAATTCACATATGTTTATAGACCCGTTCCATCCTTTGTTCCTGCATGGTTAGTCATCAACAAAACAACATATTCAACACTTCCTCTTGCTGAACTCCAGGAAATCCTCCTGGAGCGTGAGGGTCGTATACTTGAAGCCGCAAATGATGATGCCTCACTTTTGCCCACAGCAAACGTCGCACAAGTTGGGGATCGTGCCCCCCTCCAGATCGACGCATGAATAATCAAAACCCTCGCCGTGGCTCGTTTGCTCGTCGTGGAGGGCTCTTCTGGTGCGCTTTTGTACGTTGAGGCCGGTTCTGCTCAAGGTCAAGGGTGTTTCCAACACTCTTGCCTTAGTTGTTCTATCCAAGGCAAGGCAGTAGAGCATTGCACTGGCAGTGGACTATCTAATTCTTACAACATAAATGTCTAAGTACAATTTATCTACGGGGTGAATTGGACCTTTATTTAGTTCATGGATTGATTTGAGCTTACTTGATAGATACACGGGCATATTTGACCTTTTAGCCTTTAATTCTCTATTATTAGTTAAAAATGTTAAAATTCAGATTTTGAAAATTTATTATCAGACAAATTTAACAATATTTTTTTCAAAACAATTTAATACTCCGTAATGCATTAATATATAAAATTCAACATGTTAAATTTTTTACAAAACACATCAGGAAATAGGATAAAGAAAATAGAAATACGAGCCGGATCCATGCGAAACCCTATATTTTAGGGTGCCGCCCTCAGCTCCTGCGGAATTCCACTTAGCTTGATTTAGGAAATACTCCGTACGTATATATATTTGCAGTCATTACGGCGAATGTTATCTTCCACCATTCATCAATTTCTATTCATTTACAAGATGAGAGATATTAGGGTTAGAAGTATGAGGTTCGAGACAGTGATGGACCCATGCATGGGCCTACTCATAGTCCGGATGATGGCAGGAACCGCCGTGCCGGAGCAGCCACCGCTACATGACCCTACCTTCATCACCTTCAACCCTCTCCTTGATTTGCCGTCACTCGGAGAAAGGGTTTCCTCTCTACTCTCCGCCTACTTCGGCGTAGATCGTCGAAGGAGCGACCCCATCGGTCTTCAGGCGGCCACTGCCGCCCTCGATGAACTCGACGGTGACAGCCGTTACGGACTAGAGGGAGAGGTGGTCCTGGAGGCGGTGTATCATGAAGTCGGCGGTGATCAGATTGAGCGGACGTTGGGTAACTTGGGTTTGAAGGAAGAGGTAGTTTTTGACGGGGAAGACGGCGGAGAAACATGCAGCGTGTGTTTGGAAGGGTTTTGCAAGGGGGCCGTGATCACTCCGTTGACGCCGTGTTCGCATAGATTTCATTCCAAATGCATCCTTCAATGGCTCAAGAGAAGCCAAACGTGCCCTCTCTGCCGAAGCACCATACATTTTATTCATTATTAGACCCGGCCATTTTGTCCTCCCAATATTTGATTTGTATCATTTGTTAGATTAATGGTTAGTCAAGAAACCAAATTAATCTCCATGATTATACGAAAAACCAAACCCAAGAGTACATTATTCGATCTAATGTGATCGAACTAGCTTGACGCCTGAAATTGTCTAATCGTGTTTGGGAATTATATAGAATTAATTGTATTGAGTGATCGATCGAGTTTTTAATTACTCCGTACATGATAGATGAGTGAGTTCTTGTTTCATGTACATATCATGTATAATATGGTCATGAGCTTTTGTTTAGCTACTGTGATTTCTTAATATGGTCATGATCGATTTATTAATTTGGAAGAGAATGAATGCCATTTTTTTATTGTTATTGCGGCCTTAAATTATCAAAACATGCATCTTGACGCAACAATATACTCGTACTACAGTATTGAAATTTTGATGAGACGAAATTCTATAAATTATAAGGTTTAATCGCTAAGACCATGATTGTGTTAGCATCACTGTACTGGATGAATAATCCTAACCAATTTTTTTTTTTGACAAAAAACATTAATTATAAATGTAAGTATTTTCAATTCAATTTGTGCTTTCCTCCTTTCAATCTAAATTAAATGATATTAGATTATATGGTACCCTTAAGGTACCATACATTTGTCCACATGGATCAATCAGAATGATGCAGTTCAATTATTTAAATCTAAATTAAAAATGATATAATAATTTGGACCAAACAAGTAAATGGTAGGTATGATACTCCATTTTTTAAATGAGTATCGGAATTGCTTAAATGATACTTCGTATGTGAGGGTATTTCTATATGCCCTGCTCGTGGTTGAAAATAAATTAACAGAATGTGATGTTAGGTTGAGCGACTTACGTTTTTAATTAAGCGTGTATGAAATACAATGCCTGTGATATTTACGAAGTGAAGTATTATGTAATAATATTAACATTTCATTACGGAAAATAATTTTGTAACTTTTGTTAATAACATATACGAAGTACTTCGTATATATGGTTTGTCTTTCGGGTTATTTATTTATGTAAAAAGTGGATAAAAGTACGGATATTTGTGACTTTCTGGTTAAAAGTATGGATTTTTAATCGAAATGAAAACTTTTTTGGGGACATCCATAAAAAAGAAAGTGAGAACATCTTTTCGACGCGGAAGTAATATTATAAAGTAAATATTTCTGCCATGGGTTCACTAGATGAGACGTCCTTAAAAAATTATAAAGCACAATGAACTCGATATCATAAGGCATAAAATAGTCATCATACTTATCACTAACTAAATACTACTCTTTATAAAATTATATAATTATTATATGGAGTACAGAATTTTATCATCTTCATTAGACAAGAAAGTCACACTTCGAACAACATTTGGGAATTTTGAAAAGTTTGTACTACCTCTATTCTTTTTTAGTTTCAATATTAGTGAGTTTTATATTACTCACATACTCTATGTTGACCATATTTATTTATTAATGTATTATAAATAAATAAAAATTGAAAAATATTGTATAATTCCTCCAAATTTAAACTTTTAAAATACGAGTTTTCTGAGTTTTTCAACTAATAAAGAATAAAACATATTAATGATTAAACATAAAGTTTAGGACGTAACTAAAAGTTAGAAAAGTGAAAAGTTGCAATTAGAAAGAAAGAGATATGTATGAGCAAATTATGACTATTTGAGACTTTGAATTCACCTCAGGATAAATATTCGGTTTGACATAATTGGATTCAATAATTACTTCGTCCCAAAGACATTTAAAAGGTCCTGAATATATTTCGGTTTGAACACCATAAATATATATATACATATATATATAGTTAAATCAATTTTAAAATTTAAAATTTAATATTCAAAAACTACTGTCAATGATTTTAAGGTCCTGAATCCAGATTAGAATAAGGGTGTTTTTATCTATACTTTCAATCTCAGATCAATTCAAATCAGATCAGGTCAGATTTTCAGACGTTGATAATTGTAAAATACACAGAGATGTGATATTTACCACACCATACCACCTGATCAGGACATATTAGAAATTTTATGTCCAAGTAAAAACTTCCAAAAACAAAAATTGATACTTTTTTTAATGAATAAATTGATTTCTTGACCAAACGAAAATAAAAAAAAATGTTTTAAATCTAGAGAATAGATTTTGTAAATAATCCTCCGTATTTTAAATCAGTAATTACAAATTAAATGCCACCGGATATGTTGCTTCGGCAAAGAGGACACGTGTATTTTCTTCGCAGCCATGGAAGGATGCAAGCCTTATGAAACCTATGCGAACACGGCGGCAACGAAGTGATCGCGTCCCCTTTGCAAAACCCTTCCAAACACACGCTGCACGTTTCTCCGCCGCCCTCCGCTGCTGCCCCATAAAATACTTCTTTCTTCAATTCCACTTCATCATACTCCGCCGCCCGAAGAGTAGACAAAATAGCATTATCCATATAATCGGCTTCCCGATCTCCGACGTGATATTCCGCCGCCTCCAAACCAAGACCCCTAAAAACGCGGTCGAAGTCCAGTTCCCACGCCGGCAACCACAGTTCTTCTTCCGGCGAGTCTCCGGCGGTTTCTAACACCGCCTCTCCCAGTAACCCGAAACGGCCTCCGTCACCGTCAAGTTCCTCGAGAGCGGCCGTAAAGATCTGAATACCGATGGAGTCGCTCCATGGACGATCTATGCTGAAGCGGGTGGAGAGTATGAAGGAAATCGTTTCAACGAGTGAGGGCAAATCAAAGGCAGGGTTGAAGGTGATGAACTCGTCGGATTCATGGTCGTCATCTTCATCCGGCGTTGGATGCTCCGGCGTGAGTAGCCGGACCTTTAGTAGGCCAAAGGATGGGTCTGTCACCGAGTAAAAGTCTATGTCCCTTACCCTAACTCTAGTCATCTAATCGATCTTGTGAATCAAGAGTGGTTTAATTTATGAATCTATGAATGATAGATTGATAGATAGATTTAATAGATTATTATAGATGGATAGATTAAAGATATTCCTATCGGGACTTGAATTGCTCCGTACATCATTAGGCGGGAGATATGATAATCCGTAGTTTTTACTTTAATTTAGATCAAACCAGATTAATTAATAATATTGGATCAGACTGCATTATGATTGATTATAATATGATGAATTTAATTTAGAATTTAGGGCCTAGCGGTATACCCAGACTGGTTATTCCAAAGAGTCGCGTGTACCCAGATTGGTTATTCCAAAGAGTCACGTGTACTAGATAATACTCCTGTTATATATAAAGACTAAAGAGTATATATATATACTACGTATATACGTAGTATAATTTCTAAGAGCTCCTTTCATAATAATAAAATTGATCGATCATGATGAATTTGATGATATTATGATTGAATAGGTTGTTGAATTATGAAAAAATATATATAATATGATTTGTGAAAAAAATATACGAAGTATGAAATTAACAAAAATAGTTCATTTTAATAATATTAGCAATTTCAAACAATTCAATCACAATAATGACTTCAATCTTTTTTATTTTAATTATTACATCATGCAATGCAAGAAATAAAAATTAAGAGCCAATATGATAACCCTTCTTTTTAACTACTTATCAGTTTTATCGATCATTTTTTACCAAACAAATCATGTTTGATTTCGAACGCTAAATTGTGCTATATTCAAATTAAGTAAGTGATAAGTTCGTATTTCAACACGCATTTGATGCGTGTTGGGGTTGGATTTTGATGGTTTGCCTAACTTTTGGGTGTCGTAAGTCTCAATTTTAGCTCAAGTCATGTGTACCGGGCGTGGGTACGAGTTTTGGTATTTTCAGAGTTGAAATCAGGTTCTTGGGACCCGGCATCGGCATTTGAGAAGAGATCGGGACGAGTTAAGAAGCATTCGAAAGTGAATTCGCAGTTCCAGAGGCCATCGAGAGATTCACGATGATGTTTTGATGAAGAAAGAGCTATTGGATCAATCGAGTGGTCAAACGGAGGCTTAAAACGGAAGAAATCGAAGAAAATGAAGAAGAAAGGCCACGCACGGCCGTGCGTACAGGGACGCACGGCGTGCGTGCGTGGCAGTAGCGGCCAAGAAGAAGAATGAAGCAACGCACGGCCGTGCGTCCGGGTACGCACGCCGTGCGTCCGGGTACGCACGCCGTGCGTCCAAGGCGATAAATTGAAAGAAGCTACTGGCGGCAACGCACGGCCGTGCGTCCGGGAACGCACGCCGTGCGTTCAAGGCGTTGAAATCAGGGAGGCTACTGGCAGCAACGCACGGACGTGCGTAGGGGAACGCACGCCGTGCGTTGCCTATTTTCTCGCGCAGGTCCGTCGGACGCACGGACGCAACGCACGCCGTGCGTAGGCTCCGTGCGTACCGCGGATCTGTCCTTTTTCGACCCAAACTCATTGTTTTATATAAATAAAGCCTCCCTAACCCCGTTTTTGGGGTTCGGAAACCTAGAGAGAAGATTAGGGACGTATTCTACAGTGTTTTTCCGTTATTTTGTTCAAGACCCTGAGATTCTTTGTAAGTTTCATCTTTTTAATTAATGACAATTATTTCTATTCATTCCAATTCTGTTGATTCTTCAATTATGAATTGTGAGTAGTTTAATTAGGGATTTGGGGTTGATGAAGGGGTTAATCACGATGTATGGCTAGATTCTTTTCGGTTTAATTGCATGAATGCCGTTTAATTTATGTTTGAATAATTTAATTGATATCTCTTGTAACCTAGACTGCAGCTAGAATTACAATTGCATGTAGAATAAATTAAGAGAGATCTAATTTGTTCTAGGACACATTCACACACACTTAATCGTTCGCTAAGAGATTAGTAGCGATTAAGGGGCCGTAAGCTCGCTCGTCTTGGCAATAATTTAGGATCTTGTCGCATGAGAGATCAGCCTGGTCCCCTAAATTATTGTACTCTACGCCGCGAGAGCGGTAAGAACTTAGTAATGATTGGCTAGGCTCAATTAAATTAAATTCATGTAATTAAGCCTGATCTGCCAGAAATCTGGTTACCCCGGAATCAATCCCTGTTCCCTTCGTCGTTAATTAAAAAGAAACCAACCTTTATTTTATTCGCTCATTCGCATTAGTTTAGTTTAAATCTAATTCAACAATCAATCTCGCACAATTGCATTTTTATTTTATTTATTTCTTTTTAATCGCTAAGTTTAGTTAATCTTTAATTCCCTTTTGTCCGTCCCTGTGGAGACGATACTCGTACTTTCAACCATTTTACTACAACCATTTTAAGTGCGAGAAAATACACATCAGTAAGCTAAAGCCACTATTAGAAAACTGTCTTATACTAACACTTTTTTGTGACACTATCTCAAAATGGTGTCATAGATATATGACTTATCTATTCTACGATTCATAAGTGTCATTAGTTTATGACACGATGATGACAAGATCAAATAGTGATGTTTACCCCGATATTTTTATATCCTAATTGGATAAATTAAAGTAAAAGACTCTTTTATCCTCAATCTCATGGATTTTATTACCTTTAACTCCTAAGAACAAAAAATTAGAACTGCCTCGTCTTCCACTTTACACGCTATCGGGATTCTCAGCCTCAGTGGTGAGGATCCTGGCGCCCTATGCCGATCTAGGTAACCATATCCCCCCCCCCCCCCCCCCCCCCCCCGGCTTAGAATTCACCCAACGAACCAGTCATGTTTACCGATCGAAAGTATCCATAGCAACCCTTATGAAGAGGGCATCGACGAGGTTGGGGGAGACAAAACCCGAGCTTTCATCTTCTTCCTCTTATTGGGTTGAAGCGGAGCCTAGCTTTGGCCCAGGCCCGTGTTTCCTTTGAGGCGGGTGAGACCTTTGCCTCAAGCCCCCAAAAAACTAAGGCCCCAATATAGTAGTTCCTTTGTATTATTATTATTATGTAGGGTCAATTTGTTTTTTTAAATAACTCAAATCATTTATAAAGAAATTGAAGTCAGTCCTTATCCTAAAGAGATTAACGGTTAATAGTTTAATACATGCCCACAAAAGCTACAACGGATATACAAGTATATCCCAATTCCCAAAACATCTCAATCCTAATAAATACGAAGTATATACCAATTACTTATTTAAGGCATTTATAATTATTTTCTCCTCTCAATTATTTCTTTCAATTTCATCCAAAAAAAATTATTTCTCTCAATTCTTTCCCTGCATATGAGTATACTTGTCACTAACAGTTAACACATGTCACTTATACAGCTCAAGAATCTTTTGAGATTGAATACTTCAATTATATAGTGGACCATACATTCTATTACATCCATTGAAAGTAGATTTGAACAGTTTCTATTTTATGAACAAATTTTTGGTTTTTTATTTGACATAAATAAGTTAAAAACTTTTGAAGAGGCTGAATTAGAAAAATCTTGCCCTAATCTTGAAAGTTTTTTAAAATTCAATGAACACTCCGATATTGATGGATTTGATTTACTTTCAGAGTTAAAAATTTTAAAAGAAACTCTAGATAAAAAAAACACTTCACTCGAGGTGCTAAATTACATCAAAAGATTAGATTCTTTTCCAAACACATGTATTGCGTATAGAATATTATTAACTATTCCCGTGACAATTGCTTCAGCTCAAGGAAGTTTTTCAAAATTAAAATTATTGCAAATTGTATAATTTGCAAAATTAAATTGCATGTTGACTCCTTAAGTCTGACCTCCTTAAGTCAACATAATTCTATCCTTCCCCAATAGAATTATTGTGACCTCCTTAAGTCTGATCGTAATGTGATTTAATGTATTATTTAGGGCTTATGGATGTTGTCATCAAGTTTTCTTTCCGATGTAGGTTCACAAAAATAATGACAAGTGTCCTGCAAATTGTTCACAGTCTTGCATGGGCAGTAGGTAGCCCTCCCAATATTCCATGTACATTCTTCCAATTATTTGCCTCAACAAATTCTAGATGATATATCATTTTAATTTCCTATGATCCATAAAGAACCTACTTTAATAAATGGTTTTCTCTTAATAAGCATTCAACCAATAGCAAGTGGTACATTATATAGTCTGCTATAGTTGTTACCTCTCAATCTGTAACAACTTAAAAATGAAATTAAACATTCAGCCATTGATAGTTAAATATGTTTTTTCTTTAAGGTTCTGCCTATAAATCTTGAAATAATGATTTGTTTTGCATTGTATTTTTCAGGGTACGCTACTAAAAAAAAGTGAAAATAGTTGTGAATATTTCTTATGATTGTTTTTTAAGATAATAGTTGCAGATTTTGTAACAAATTTTGGTATTTTGGAGAGCCCACAAAAAGTTACGGCGAATTCAATTATCCGATACTAAAATCATGGGTACATAGAGCTCCAAAGGGTAGGGAGATTTTAGTTGCGCTTTTTAGTCACTTTATTTCTTAAGTAATTGTTTTGTAAATATTTTCACAGATAATGAAAATAGCAGGCGGAATCCTTCGTCCTTGTTAGTGTGCGTAACTAATTCGTGTGAAACAAAATCTACCCATTTAGTTGGAGAAAATTGTTCTACATTAATTTGTTTTCACGCATACTCCTTATTTAGTTGAGGATAACGGAATGGGTATTATTTATAATTTATAATACGGAGCATTATAATATTCTGTTATTATAATAGAACAAAACAACACACATGTTACCTATTAAACCCAAAAGCAAGTTTTGCCTAAGACCTCAGTACGTAACTTTTTAGTTTCCGAAAAACAAACACTTTATATAATTTTTTTAATTATACAGATTTAGTAGTCATTTAAAATCTTACCAAACTAGATCTAATATAATAAAACTCTAAGGGTATGTTTGGTTCAAGGAATGTCAGATTATCATGGGAATGTCAGATTGCTGGGTATGTTAGATCGATGGGAATGTATTCAATTTGTACCCATTTGTGTTTGGTTGAGACTAAAGGAATGTAA